TTATCATGGAGCTGAGCACACACCTGCCCCGGGATTTGGAGAAATGGAAGGAGATAAAGCAGGAGATGAAGGAATTGTGGGTTCAGTGGCTACTTCTTGTGAACAAGGTGAGCTCACAGATCAGGGATCTAGAAGGAGCTATAGCAGCACTGGGTGCTCTACCCCAGTCTTTAGAAAATAATGGTTACTGGGTCACCACTGCCTTCCAATCTCACAGAAATGGACCCTACAGGCACCCTTAATCAGAAACCTCACAGGGAAAGGAATTCTGGGAAACAGTTTCAGCTTGGCCAGGAAGACACAGTACAATGCCCTAACATTAGATACACCTGAGAAATTTTGTACTAATCAAGTTGAGAATAACATTAGCTCCTAAGTGGAAAGTCTACCTGCCTACTTATTTATATCCTATATTTGTTTATCTAATCTGTCTGTAAAACACAGAAGGACGCTTGTATCACTGGAATAATTAGGTCTCACTCTCACTTTCATATCCGTCCAAATCTAACAAGTCAGAATTGAACCAGAAATTCCTTGAAAAGGAGTCCTTGCCAAGATTCTTATCCAATTGTGAGCAACATAATAAATTTTATACATAGATAATGTTTGTTCTATTTGACTTAAGTGAGTTGGTTTCCTTCATTCCTGAAGAAAAATGTAAACAACCGTATTAGTCTCCAAGAAGATTTGTGCTGGTCAGACAAGATTTCCAGAAGTGTAGATCCCTCAGATCTCAGATTTTTATTTCTAAATATTTTGCAGAGTCACTTCTCAAGCTCAATTCTAGAATCCTCAATTCTAGAATCCAGTCATAGAAGATCAGAACAGCCAGGGCTTTCTACTGTGCCCTTGTAGCAGGACAGATGATTCTAGGCTTTCAAGTTCAAAAGCCTTGATCCAGAAAGTCAGAAGATTTATAAGGGCATCTGTTCTGGAAAAAAAAATGTGGGTGTCTGATCTGGCAGAACAGGTTTATCTTTCTAGCTTTAGATTAGGTTAGGCATAAAGACCCTATGTTCCCAGCAGGAGAAAACACATTAGTTGGAATCATATCTCCTACTCCTCCTTTAGCGAGCTCCCAAGGCTCAAGTGGTGTCAAAGTGGATCCTAAGCATCCCTGAGGCACAAGTGAGACAAAGAGGTTGGCTGAAAGAAAGTAAGGGTGATCACTCTGACCAGTTTGCACACATCCCTGGTACTGGGGCAAAGAAATGAGAATTAGAAGGATACAGAGTCAACAATCCCTGCCAGGGGCCTGTGGGAATGTGATTATAGTCTCTGTGGATCAACAGTGCCAGAGAATCCAGTAGAGATGGTCATTTCCCATGGTCACACTGTGAAGAAGAATCATAAGTATAGAATAGGATGTATTTGGGGTCAGAGGTCAGGTGAGGAATAAGGAAAGAGAAAGTCCTCTTTTATGTAACTGCCATGGTAGCAATCTTGTAAAAACACACCCATCTCCTACTGCAATTTTAAATTTAACACAAGGAAAGAGGTGACAAAAACTGGGAGAATTTTAAAACCTGTATCAGACTAAACTATAAATTGGAATGGACTAAGATATTATTAAAGTTGATTGGATTTTGTTGGAAGTGCTATCTGCTATAGCTCAATTTGGTTTTATTTTTACTGTAAGCCCCATGTTGGATCATGCAGGAAAAAAAACCAATGGAACATTTTTGTACAACCGAACATGTGAATATAGGCTTTTAACTTGTTATACAAGAGATGTTTAGAGATATTTAGCCTTTTACCATCCCAAGACTAAATAAATGGATGTCACTAGTTGAAAATCCTCAGATGTATGTGAATGGGTACTGGGCAGCCAAGGAACCTAGAGGAAAGCTGGCTCTGTTGCTATGATTTTATACAGAGAAGCAAAGAACAGAAAGAATTTTCTAGAGCTGAGGCTGGTACATTCATGAGGAACAATTGCAGACATTCTATGGCTTTTCCAGAGACTTGTTTAAGTCATTCTACCTCTGGGCCTTTCAGTGTACAATAAGATTCTGTTACTATTTAAAGGCGAGTTTTTTCTTTATTTGCCAGAAATGAGGTAGGCATTTTAGATTCATTATGTCATTAAATCTATAAATAAAACCAAGAAGCTACTCTCATTACTTTCATTTTTAAAAAAAGGAACTTGAAGCTTAGATTGTGAATATATCCAAAGTCTGATAGTTATTGGTTCAGATCCATTTCTGTCTAAGGTTTTTTTTTTTTTTAATGTTTCTTTATTCTTAGAGAGAGAGAGAGAGAGAGTGAGAGAGAGCACCTGAGTGGGGGAGGGAGACACAGAATTTGAAGCAGGTTCCAGGTTCTGAGCTGTCAGCACTGAGTCCACTGTGGGGTTCGAATTTACCATCTGTGACATTATGATCTAAGCTGAAGTCTGATGCTTAACTGACTGAGCCACAGGGGTCCCTTCAGAGCCCAAGTTCTTAACCACCTTTGTCACATGACCATTTACAAAAAACTTTAAGGATGCCTCCCTCAACTTTTCCCTAGTCATTACTTTTTTTTTTTTCGGAGAGTGCAAGTGAGCAAGGGGCAGAGAGAGAGAGAGAGAGAGAGGTGGGGGATGGAGGGAGATAAACAGGGTTCATGCTCACAAACCAGTGAGATCATGACTTGAGCTGAAGTCAGATGTTAACAAATGAGCCACCCACGTACCCCACCCCATCTTCACTTTTTCCATGAAGACTTTTGCCGGCTCGAGAGGTACTTATAGTCTTTTATTCCCACCTTGAACGTGGGTGGTAGAAAAAAGAACAAAGATAAATTTCTGTGAAGGAGAAACAAGATATTGACTTTAAATAAGATGTTCAATTATTAGACTTATTTGTCATACCCCCATACTATGGAAGGATACATTCTCTTCCATCCTACTCTGAGCTCACCCCTTCATGAAAGTTTATGAAGGAGTCCAGACATGACTACATTTGACAATGGGATTAAATGCTTTACTGTAACTCAACTCACATTCCGGGTTAGATGGGTCTGGACTTTGTCATGGGTGGTTACCACTAAATGGAGTGGGAGCACGCATCCACATCCTATTTTCTCCTTTTTACTCATAATCAGTGCCTTAGGGGGATGAAGCTAGAGACCTTTGGTATTTGGTTTTGAACTACAGTAGACATAGAAGTTCATCTAGAAACATATTGTGGGGTTTTTTAGATTATTTGGCTATGAAGTTTATAGTACTAACCCTACTGTATGCAGTTCAACCCCAAATAAAAGCCCTGGATCTCCATACACATTGTTTTATGTAGCATAAATCATGGACTTCACACAATATGCCAAAGAACTATCCCATGACAAAGGTTTTTTGGTCATTCCCTTCAGTATTGGTGTCATTGATGGATTTGAATATATAATTTTTCTTAATTTTCTCCAAAGCTCAGGGTATAGTCAGGAGATAAACTTTTAGCTCTGAGCCTTCTATACTATCTTTTCATCTAAAAATATCAGTGGGTATATTTGGCACCAAAATTATGTTCATAGAACATAACTTTTCTAAAATACATGAACTTGGGTTTGGCAGTGGACTCCAGAGTCCTTGATAAGGAGATGGGGGAATGAGCAAGCCTCACCCCCAAACAATGGAGGAAAATCAGTATGCGCCAACTAAAGAGCGTTAGGCATAGGATTCTGAGGAAATAAAATATCGTAAACTATTCTGAAGTTTAGCTTAAACCCCTAGCTAGTTCCAAATTTGTGTTTTCCCTAAAAATTTGTTTGGATGATAGGAAGTTTGAATATTGTTGTGGCTTATTGTTGTTGAATATTGTTGAAATTGGCTTCCTTAAATTTATAAGTTCAAAATATTAAATATTAAATAAATAAAATATTAGATGTTTATTGAATAAATATTTAAAGTATTTATTTTTAACTTAAGATAAGTCACCTTAGATTTTGTAATGGTTTGTAAACTGAGGGTAGATGAACATTTTATATTTAAAGTCTCAAGTATTTTAGAACTAAAATAAATATACCATAATTCTGAATCACTAAAATTGGGAATTGCTTTATTTTTCATGCATTACCACAAAATTCTCGCGAGTTTCTAGTCTGAAGTAATCATCTCATTATAGAACTTCTTTGATTAACAAAAAGGATCCAATCATAACAAAATCAAGAATTTTCCAGAAGGATGTGAAGTTATTTCACAGTTTGTATCTACCACTAGGTCTTCACTTAATCTCACTTTTACTCCAATCTCTACCCAACTTCTTTCCTGCCAATAATCCCACTGTTACTTTCTTCTCTCTTTGTCATTATTTCAGTGTGGCTACTGTCCCTCATGACCATTTCAGGGCCTCCACAACAAACTTTCCTAATGTCCTTTGGGAGACGGGAAGAGGAGACCAATTAATTATCAAGAGGAGATGTGGGATATTGCATTTCCATTTATTTAAATTGGAGAATGACCTGGCTTGAGGACTAACTCCTATGGGCAGTGAGGTCCAGTCCAAGTCCTATTAAGATTTGTCACATTCATATTGCCTCTATCCTCAACAAAAGATCTTTTCTGTGGCAAGCCAAAAGGATTGGAAAAGATTGTTAATGCAGTTGAATTTTCCAAGGTCTTTACTAACAATTTGCAAATTGCCTTCAAGAAGGTATTAGAGTATAATTTTATCTTCCACAAATTGTGCAAAACATACCCCAAAGAGAAACTAGAAATCCTTTACAAAAAAATGTCGAATATAGAAATTATCCTACTTCTGTGGTTAGCATGCTTGTGTCTTATAGTTTTATGAAGTTAAATATGAAAAGGGATACTATATAAGAACTCATGGCCTGGTTTTCTCAGATATTCTTCTCTCCACTTTGAGAAAATCCATAATCAAATGGAATATATTCCAGCATTCTTCTTAGACTCTTATTTCCACAACTCAGGTAAGATCTAGTTGCATGGGTATTATTGCATTGGCTTCCCCAGTCAGAGCCTTTATGTGTAACTGTCTGTATGCCCCACAGATGCAGAACAGTTACTTGGATTGAGAACCTACCTTAACAATGTGGAGAAGTCTCTCTCGAATCTGTTTGGTACGGACAGCATAGACAACTGGGTTGAGGATGGGTGGGATGAGGAGATAGAAGTTGGCCAAAAGGATATGGATATGGGGAGGCACATCATGGCCAAAGCGGTGAGTGAGAGAAGAAACAGCAATGGGGATATAGAAGATAAGAATGGCACAAATATGAGAACTACATGTCCCTAGAGTTTTAAGCCTAGCCTCAGGGGTGGCCAATCCCATTACAGCCTTGAAAATCATCACATAGGAGGCAGTGATGGCTAATGAATCCAAGATCAATACCAGGAAGCCAATTCCCATTCCATAGAAGTTGTTGACTGTTGTGTCACCACATGCCACGGTGACTACGGCCATGTGCTCACAATAGGAGTGGGCAATGATTTGTGTCCGGTAAAGGGGCAGCCTCAGGCGAATCATCAGGGGCAGGGGTCCAATGTAGAGTACTCCACGGAGGAGGGCAGCCAGGCCCAAACGACCCACCACTGCATGAGTAAGCACCAAAGTGTGGCGTAATGGGTCACAAATAGCCACATAGCGATCAAAAGCCATGGCAAGGAAGACGCCTGACTCAACGGTGGCAAAGCAGTGGATGAAGAACATCTGGGTCAAGCAGGCATCCCGGTCAATGTTGCGGGCACCAAACCAGAAGATAGTTAGCAGTTTGGGCATGGTAGAAGTTGACAGGACCAAGTCAATGACAGCCAACATGCACAGGAAGAAGTACATGGGCTGGTGCAGGCTGCGTTCCATCTTTATCACTACCAGGATCATCACATTGCCCACCACAGCCACCAGGTACATAGAGCTGAAGGGGATAGAAAGCCAGATGTGCAGGGACTCCAGCCCTGGAATGCCAGTAAGCCAGAAAGAACTAGGCACCAAGCAGGCATTATTAGATATGAACATGTTTCAGTGAGTGAAGTATCCAGGAGATAGGAGCTCTTAGTTTTAGACTTTTATTCTTATGAGAAATATGGTCTCTGGAAACTGTAGACTATTAGATTCTGATTTTCATCTTGTGCAACTGGTGGAACCTATAATAAAGAATTCTGAAGGTCTACTTGAAGATTGGCATGTTACATATTTAAAAATTATGCATGATAACACCCAATGGTAAAGTGGAAATGGGAATGCTTATGACTTCTATTGCTAAAATACCCTAATCCACCCTAGAAGTCTTCCCAACTGGTTCATTCCCTTTGATCCAGTATTCTTGCTTTGGGAAGTACTTCCTAACAGAAACAGAAACTACAGAAAAGTTCTATGTGCAATGTTTAAATGTATATCCATGTAATGTGTCTAGCTCTGTGTCTGCATGTTTCTCTGTATAAATAGTAACATTAATAACATCAATAACATTGATTAGCTATTTGCAACTATTGATTTTATAATGAAAATTTGGAAGCAGTGTGTATTGAAAGTAAAGCATTTAAGTTATAGAACATCCACTCAATGAATTAGAATTAGGTTTATAATATTTTTAGACCTATGTATTTACAATATCCTTTTCTCTAAGGGTTTAACACTGGGTTAGTCAGCTTGTCAAATCTAATGGACTTATTCAAAGATATTTGGCACAGGATCTTATTTCTCAAAGAAAAATCTTTCATTTAAAGTTGCTCATATTTCATGGTTAAAAGATGAAGAGACAAATTCTTTAGGAAAGTTTAATAGTGTGTTATTAGAGTAAACCTATCTAAGAATCTGGGTATCTAGGAGACAGATAAAAGAAAAAGTGCATCTTTTTACAAGCATATCTCACTGGATGTTTTCCACATTACCTGATGATAGCAAATAAGAAGAATGGACAAAGAAAACAGTTGACAAGATCCTTCTTACTGACCACATCCTCTTGTTCTCTATTAAAGAGAGATAAGCACTATTTCACTGGCCATTACATGTAAAAGTCTCGTCCACTTCTTGCTCTTCTGCCCCTCAGTCATCTCCAAGAAACCAGCAATGGGTCCTATTGCTTCACATCCTCAGGGTTCAGAACCTGAGAGCATAGAGTTTAATTTGGGACTGGTCCTGTCTCAGGGTTGCCGTCCTGCTGTTTTCCATCAGATTCTCAGCAATAGGCAGCAAGTCTCAGTCTCCCCACCCTCATCACGGTAACTTTCTTCACGCAGCCATGTTTTGTTAAGAGGTTTCACCACCATTTTGGTTTTTACACAGGCATATTTCCCCAATTATCCAAGGCTCATCTCAGATCATCTCTCCTACAAAGTCTTATTTGGGAACTCTAGTCTACACCAGAGTGGTGGGTAGTCCCTAAATTCCTAATTGTCTCAAGCCCAGACATATTTAAAATATTCTTGTCTAAAATATAAGTAGCAATCACATTTCCATGGCAAGTAAGCACAAAAAATGCCTCTATATAACCTCAGGGATCCCTAATTGTAACTCCAACACAAGTTTTTACAAGTTTGCCTACTTCTTGGTCAGCCATTGACTGGGTGCTGAAAAGAAAAAGCAGAGTTTTGTGAACTTTAAAGTGTTACACAGTGTTCTTGTTAAATTAACTCACTAACTTCAGCAGTTCTTTGAATCGAGTACTTTAATATGCCAGCAAGTGATAATGTGTGAAGTCACTTTTTCAGAGTTCAAACGTGAGCTTTTATGTTTTCTGGAGAAGACAAGAAAGGGAAAGATGTCCTGGAGACAGCACCACAGGGGCCACTCAGGGCACCAGCTTTGCCACCTAATAAACCAGGTTTCCCGTTCCAGACCTTTATCTCACTCTATCTGGGCAAGTAGTCTAACCTCTAAGTTTGTCCTTTTCATTAAAAAAGGTGGGTTTACCCACTACAAAGAATTATAAAGAACAAAAGGAGTATGCATTTCTTGGTGCATGGTGGCAACATTCTCTACTTGAATTCTTGCCGTTCATTATGGGGAAGTAGACCAGAATCTTAGAATCTGCAAAGTGACAGTTTCCTATGTTTATCTGTTACATGGGACATCTTTGAGGAAGTCTCAGAAAGTCCAGGAATGAGAGAGGAGACAGGAATTTAAAAGGAACCCTCAGCAATATGCAATTTTATTTCACAATAGGGAGAATGCCTGAAGTGTTCTCTAAAAATATTGTGGTAAACTACCATCTTAAAGCAGGAAGGGGCCTGATTACTCAAGTAACCTACCCTGCATTATCACAAAGGGAATTAATGTTCATAGGATGGACTTAAACCCCCAGATTCTAATTTTGATTTGTACCAGATCGAGTTTAGTCAATGAAACTAACCAAATTTTGGGCTAGGACAAGCAGAATATGAACATAAGTATAAAAATAAAATCCACTAAAAGCTGATAATTGGCACCTTAAGTGGTGGTTTGAACTAGGTTGTGGCACCAGAATAGTGTCACTTTACCTAGAACATTCCAGAGAAATATTTTCTGTGTCAGCCCACCCTACTTGGAACACTGGTGACCAGTGTCTACAAGTCCTAGAAAAAGCATCCTGATGGGTCTGAGGCTCCTGAGAAAGGTTTTGCTATGAAAAATTAAACATGGATTAGCAGGAAGACAGACTTAGGTTCAAATACTAACCTGCTGTATTTTGGCTCTAACTTAGGGAGCATACACTGTCTGCCTCAGTTTTCTGTCCTGTTTCCCAGTATGTGAAATGAAGAAAATAACTACTTTAGGGTTACTTCATGTATTAAATGACCTGTTTATAATTGTGTGTGCGTGGAAAGTCAGTGTTAGGATGCGTGGCCTCTGGAATAGGCACTGTGTTTCCTCTCTACCTATTCCTCCCCTCTATTCTTTGCTCTCTTCCACAGAACACAGACACACTGTACTGTTACCATATGACCTTGTTGATTCCATATCCTTCTTTCCTAACTTATAGGAGTAGCTTTTTAAAACATGGGTATAATCATTGAAGAGACCTTCTGATAGTGTAAGGATCAACTTAGGAGAGGTTGTCAGACTGTGGAGCAAGAGACCAGAGGCCCAAGAAGGCTGGAATAGTTCAATTTTTCCTCTTGTATTCTGATGGACAGTACTAGGCAATGAGGCCTCCTACCTTGGGGTTTCTTGTCTTCATAACCCTGGCCAAATGGTGCTCTGTTCTACTTTTGCCTAGACCCAGGAAGAAGAGAAGCCCTAGTTGGACCAGAAGACAAATGTAGTTTCTAGAACTTGGAGTTTGTTCCCACTGACTTTGATTCCTTCACGGAGATGTACTTACTCATTGGGGGTCCTGTCCTCCGAGTTCTAGGCTATGTGCCTTACAGTGGTCCCCTCTGAACTGGATGCTTGGAAAAATTTAGTTTAGAGTCAAGGGAAGGCCATAGCCCTGATCTCTTCATTATTTTATCCTGTGTTCTTTATCCAGGCATCAAAAATAGCCAGTTATTTCTCAAGGGCTGCACAAAGAAACCTGTGCCCTTCCCTCTGGACCTTCAGTTACTGCCCCCTTGGGTGTCCTCCTAATCCCACTCCATTCCCAAGACTGGATTATAGACTTAATTCCTACTCTCCTGCTGGGGCTCGTGACTGGCCCTAGGTTTCAGACATCTAAACCTCAAGCCTAAGGTATTCAAGGTCTCCAAGAGGGACACTGGGAAGGAGTTCTCAATAGAAGGCTGGAAAAAAAAAACCACATCAGATGATGTTATAATCAATATGGATACTTTTGGGTCAATTATTATTTAAAAACAAGATGTAAGCTGTGCCTAGATATACATCATATACTAGATTTCATCAACATTGTAATTTTCCTTTTTTTTAAAAAATCATGTTTGATTAAAAATATTTGTAATTACAATTTACATTGTGTGTCCAGGTCTGTGGTTAACTTTCACTTCTCAGAGTAGTGAGGCTAGTTTGTTTATGTATACCAAGTGGTACAGACATAGTTGTCAACATTTTTTTCTGTTCAACCTTAGGATAGAATCCTAGAAGGGAAATTACTGACTATCGTGCAGGCCTCATGAATCCTGTTGTCAAACTGCTTTCCAAAAGCATTCAGTTTGTGTTTAACCTAGTTCCAGATGAATTCATTTGCTAAATTGCCCTTTAGTAATTTTTAAAATATCCATTATACTCGGCATTCAAGAGTCTCTCATGGTTTGCCTCTCTCCCTCTCCCCCACTATTTTTCCCCTTCTTCTCCCCCATGGTCCTCCATTAAGTTCCTCCTAATCCTCCTATACGTGCAAACATATGGCATCTGTCTTTCTCTGCCTGACTTATTTCGCTCAGCATAACACCCTCAAGTTCCATCCACATTGCTACAAATGGCCAGATTTCATTCTTTCTCATTGCTATGTGATATTCCATTGTATAGATAAACCACATCTTCTTGATCCATTAGTCCATTGATAGATACTTAGGCTGTTTCCATTTTTGGCTATTGTTGAGAGTGCTACTATGAACACTGGGGTACATGTGCCCCTATGCATCAACACTCCTGTATCCCTTGGGTAAATTCCCAGCAGTGCTATTGCTGGGTCATAGGGGAGTTCTATTGTTTATTTTTTGAGGAATCTCCACACTGTTTTCCAGAGGGGCTGCACCAGTTTACATTCCCACCAACAGTGTAGGAGAGTGCCCATTTCTCCACATCCTCGCCAGCATCTAGAGTCCTCTGATTTGGCTGATGGAGGTGGGGGAGAGGGGAGAGGAAGGGGAGTGATGGGCATAGAGGAGGGCGCTTGTGGGGATGAGCACTGGGTGTTATATGGAAATCAACTTGACAATAAGCTATTTAAAATAAAATAAAATATCCATTATATAGATGAGCAAAACGAAACCTTGTTTTCATCTTTTAAAAATTTCTAGAGTGTGATCATCTATATTTGAACAATTTGTGGCCAATGTATTTTGAACAGGTTCTTTCCTCATTTTTTCTACCACATACTTCATATTCTTAAATGAAGTGGGGAGAATGGTTTCAGATAATACAGCAAAGACTGAAATTTTGTTTTGTTTTGGGGCGCCTGGGTGGCTTAGTCGGTTAAGCGTCCGACTTTCGCTTAGGTCATGATCTCGCGGTTCGTGGGTTCGAGCCCCGCGTCGGGTTCTGTAATGACTGCCAGCTCAGAGCCTGGAGCCTGTTTCAGTCTGTGACTCCCTCTTTTTCTGACCCTCCCCTGTTCACGCTGTCTTTCTCTCTTTCTTTCTCTCCTAGAAATAAATAAAAAAAAACATTTAAAAAAAATAAAGAAATTTTGTTTTGTTTTGCTTTTGCTTTTTAAGTTTTTATTTAAATCCCAGTTAACATATACTGTGGTATTAGTTTCAGGAGTGGGATTTAGTGATTCATCATTTACATGTAACACCTAGTGCTAATCACAAGTGCTCTCCTTAATACCTATCACCCATTTAGCCTGTTCCCCACGTACCTTCCCTTCAGTAACCCTTGGTTTGTTATCTGTAGTTAAGTCTATTTTACGGTTTGCCTCTTCTTTCTTTTACCTAAGTTCATCTGTTTTGGTTCTTAAGTACTACATATGAGTGAAATCATATGGTATTTGTCTTTCTCTGAAATTTCCCTTAGCATTAATATACTCTAGCTCCATCCACGTTGTTATGCTGAGATTTAATTCTTTTTGATGGTTGAGTAATAGGTCATTATACATACATACACACATGCACACAACCCTTTATTCATTTACCAGTAAATGGCCGTTTGGGCTCTTTCCATAATTGGGCTATTGTTGATAATGCCACTATAAACATTGGGGTGCCTGTGACCCTTTGAATCTGTATTTTTGTATCCTTTGGGTAAATACTTAGTGCAATGCTGGGTTGTAGGGTAGTTCTTTTTAGCATTTTTGAGGAACCCCCATATGGTTTTCTAGAGTGACTGCAACAGTTTGCATTCTCACCAACTGAGTAAGAGAGATCCCCTTTCTCCACATCCTCATCTACATCTG